TGCCAGCTAGGATTCAGAATCCCAAAGTTCAAGTCAAACCAGCAGCTGACTGACAGGCATAGAGCCAGAGCGGTGATTGAGCAAGTTGGGGCAGGAGCGAAGAGGGGCAGATTCCTGGGTCCTGGGCGGGTCCCAGGATGATAAGCTAACTTTCCCGTATATTGCGTATTTTGGGAGCATCCAGAACCTACCTCGAGAACTCAGTCCTGTTATGTGGGGGAACAGGTGCGAGAATTCTTGAGTACTGGTGTCATATAGCCTGTTTAATCCCACTGTCCTTATACGCATAGGGTGGAGCCCCAGATGTCAGCGGTTCAGAGTCAGAACCAAGAGCAGCAGACATCAGAAAGTCTCCCATCGGACGCTCAGGCTTGCCTGACTCAGTGTAGCACTTTCTTTCTTTGGCTGGTTGCCGGAGTCTTCTTCCTAAGGCAGCTAGCTGCCTTGTAGGGCAGGGAGCCAATTATTAAGGTGGGGTAAAACGTCATTAGGAGTCCTGGACTCTCCGTGGGCTGAACCTGTGTGCGGAGCCCCAAGCTTGTCACTGGTAGAGGAGAGCATCCAGCTAGCTGGAAACAGCCAGGGGTTGGCAGTGAGGACCCTTTAGGGTTACTGTGTCTGTCTGGTTAGCATTGGAGATAGGGCTTCTTGCTGACCCTGAGTGGCAAGGTGTTTGGTTGCATGGTTGTGCTAGCTTAGGAGACGCTTCCGGGGCTTGGACTCTGCTTATGTGGTTTTGGTGGAGTCACCTCTGCTGGCTAGTGCTGCTTCGAAAGTCCTTTGGGAAGGACTCTGTTATGGCTATCCTAGGTGAGGCTGATGAACCCTTGTGCTGGTGCTGATGCTACCCCGTGTGTGGAAGAATTCCAGTCCTTAGTCTTACGGTGGACTGGGCCAGAGTCTCAACCAGGAAACAACCTCTCACCCTCTGCCAATGGTGCCAGATAGGTTAGACCACAAAGATCTGTAGGAGCATGTTTGAAAACAGTCACCACTTTGGATTCAAATTCATCGCTATCGAGGTGATTAAGAGGCCATTGTTACCTCTATAGAAGGTGATGAATGGAGCTGGAAAGACTCTGGGTATGGACACTCTTTGAAGCGTTTTGAATATTAGCACAAAGGCAGATGTCGATGGGGAGTCTCTGATAGGGTGTTGCCGGAGAACTAGACTCCCAAATTTCTGACCCTCCCACCCCTGCCTCCCTCGTGCTGAATCACCATGGCTGCCCAGATTTCTGCTTTTCACAGAAGCTTTCAAAAACTGTCTTGTGTCAAGGAATGATTAGTTTTCTAAGGACATCTAGCATTGTGACTGTCCAAGGAGAGTGGGCCACGTGAGAAATTCTGCATGAAATGTAATGTCCAAGAGTTAATTGGATCTACCCCTTTGATTCTGTTTTCCCTACCAGGAGATTCATTTGTGGTGACACTTTAAAAAATATTTTCTATTATCTCTTTTATTTGTGTGTGTGTGTGTGTGTGTGTGTGTGTGTGTGTGTGTGTGTGTGTGTGTGTTTATACCATGTGCAGATCAGAGGATAACTTTCAGGAATTGGTTCTCCTTCTACCATGTGGATTCCAGGGACTGAACTCAGGTTGCTGGTCAGGGTTGGCAGGTAGAGAATAATTCTCGGTGTTGCCCAAAGGGATATATTAACAAAGAGAAAGTAACGCTGCGAGGCAATTTCTTTTTGAAAAAAGGAGGCACCAGAACCTGAACCGGGCCAGTGAACATGCATGGCCAAAATGGCCTCTGTCTTTTATCGATAATGAAGATGGTAATTATTTCTAATCCTATTGGAGGAAATAACTTCACAGTCTGATGTGATTGGCTAATTAGTGTGAAGGGGGCAGGAGGAGGTTCGGGGAATGTGGACCTCTGTTCGTAGAAGAAACATTTCTCACAGCAGAAAGCACCTTTACCCACCAAGCCCTCCCCTTTAATGAGATGGACAGCTTCCTCTACTTTGGGGTAGGTAGATTTACTCACGTTGAAAACTATTTCAGATTGACCAATCAATGCCCTGATGTCACCACTGTGTCCTTAGAAGACACAAAACAGCTATGAATGGGGTCCTTTCCTTGTTGGACAGGGGAAGACTGGAGATGAGTGTCCTCTGTCTCTTCCACTTCACACCAGGGGTAGGAACTGGAGTTTTCAGGGCAGAAGCCATGGACCTTTGCATATACTTACATTCGGAGGCAGCCCCAGTAGACTATGTTTGGCCATTGGCCCCCAATCCACTGTTTAAAGAGACAAGCCATGGTGCAAAAGTCGAGAGAGAACATTTGTTAGCGTGGTCACGTTGGAAAGAGGAACAAATATATGGTTGCAGTGACCCCCCCTGAGACAGTCTTCCGGGACACTGACACATGCTTCAGGTTTGAATAGAGGAAATATTGGAGCAAGGGGTAAGAGGGACATAGTGTTAAGCAATCCTGGTCCAAGGTGGTGAGTTTGATCATTTCCTTGCTCCAGTTCTGCAAGGTGGTCCAC